GTCCGAAACATTGCTTTAAGGGAAACCATAGAAGTGGAGAGAGTCATGTCACCTCGCAAAGTCACCACTTCCCCCCTAATCCGGAACTTCATCAGTTGAGATTTCCAATTCACATGTATACCCCCCAATGTTTCCAACCACTGCATGCCTAAGATAACATCCACCCCTTCTAACTCCAATGGCAAAAAATTCTCTATTATGGTTAGTTGAGGTAAACTCAATGACACTTCTCGACAAAGTCCCTGCCTTTTAACCGAATCCCCCGTGCCAACTTGCACTCCAAACCCGGCAGTGGGATAAATTGGAATGGACAATTGTTTTACTAAACTTAAGGAAATAAAGTTGTGCGTTGCTCCAGAATCGATTAAGACAATTATCTCTTGTTGAGCAATTGATCCGCGAATCTTCATAGTTTTGGGTGTTGAAAGGCCTACCACAGAGTTCAAGGAAAGTTCAATAAACTCGGGCTGCCCCTCTTAACAACCTTAGCCACGTCAATATCTTCCTCCAAGCATTCTGTGGAGTCCTCATCACTAACCAACATAATCCGGAGCTCCTTCTTCTTGCAACGGTGACCAAAAAAAATTTTCTCATCACACCTATAACAAAGTCCTTTGTCTTTCTTCTCCTGCAACTCCGAATCCGACAACTTTCGAAAAGGACAGTCCCGTTTTTGGCTTACTGCTCTATCCCCCGTGGTTGGAGCTCACTGAGGTCGTTCAACTCCAGGAACTGTTCTAGCTAGAAAATTAGAAAAATCAGCTCGCGGTCCTCCCAAAAATTGCGGCCTTGACACTCTTGATCCTGCAACCTCCTGACGTAGCAACTCGTTCTTCTCCTCAATTCTCTGGGCGATCTCCATAATTTCGCCTAATCCCTCCGGTTTTAAGAGCCTTAACTCCGCCCGAACCTCCGCCTTTAATCCATTAACAAAAATGCCCTCCAAAATTTCCTCAGGAACATCTAAGAGAGGGGCGGCAGAAACTTCAAATTGTCGGCGATAATCCGCCACTGTACCTTCTTGTCGAATCGCCAAAAACTTCTCACAAAGGTTCCCAGCCTGCGATGAACGGAAACGCTGCAAAAGAGACAACTTGAACTCCGTCCAACTGTGAAACGGACGGCGGCCATTCTACCATTGAAACCAAGACAAGGCGTCTCCTTCCAAGGTAATACCAGCGGTAATCAACCTCTCTCTCTCTGAACAGCGATTGATGGAAAAAAATTGTTCAATTCGGAACACCCATCCATCAGGATCATCGCCACTGAAAACAGGGCATTGTACCTGCCGTCGGCGGTATGAAGTCCAATCTTCATTCTCTGGCAGCTCACCCAAAACGCCCATGTTTTCCCCACTCTCCCTATGTCGCCCTCCTCTGTAACCGTTTCCTCCCATGCCACCCCTCTGATCACGGAATCTCGGATTTTCAGGTTCCCCGAATACCCCACGCCACTCTCCACGACGTCCCAACGTTCCTTCCCTTGGGCCCCCGTTCATTCCCTCACGTCGACCCTCTCGCTCTTCTTCCACTCCATCGCGACAGGAATTCCGCAAATTCCTGAGTTCCGCCGGTCGTTCTCCACCCCGAGCACGCAACCCAATGGTTTCCGCCGGTAGTGGTGCGTTCTTCAAAACCATAGGATCTATCACCCGTTCCTCGATTTACACGCGCGATCCAGCAACATCAACCAGTCGCGATCTTGCATCTGCCATCGAAGCCGCTCCTTGCTCCTGCTCCGCCATGGATGTCGAAGCACCTTCTTTCTCGGACGTTTTCGCCGATGCCGTGAACAATTTCATCTGCTCCTCAATTAACCGGCGAAGATCTGTGAGATTCTGAGTAAGCTCGGTCCTAACCTTACCGATCCCCTTCTCCATCTCTCCAATTCCCTTCTCCATCGTAACCCTAACCTCTTTGATCTCTTTCTCCACAGTTTTGAATCTCTCTTCTGCCTTTCTTGCCGCCATAATTCTCCCAAGATGATGCTTTGATACCAAATTGGTAAGTTCGTAGCAACTATTTCACGAGAATTGAATCAAGAAGAAGAAAAAATGAATCTTTATTGAATTATCCACAAGAATTACAGATTTGGTTTCTTGAAACCAGAGAACCTCTCCTGCTTAGCAGAATGCCAAGACTTTCCCTATACAGACTCAATGATTGCCTACCTTCATCATTCCCCGAGTCCACCTCTTTATTCCTGCCCCAAACAACTCTAATCACAATCCCTTGTGCTCACACCCACAATAACCACGTAAGTATATACTAATACACACATTAGCCACGTAGGCATATACTCACACACACAACAACCACATAAGCCTATACACCTACGAACCTATACACTAACAATCCTCTAATCACTTTCCTGACCCTTCCTCACATAGACTTGTCTAAGTAGAGGCTTATCAGTTTCCTCATTAGACTCACTTGTCCGGTTTGTTTGAGCTTTGTCTCTCTTGTTTATGGCATTTAGTTGCCGACGGATCTCTTGCATTCTCCGCCTTACTTCAACATCTTGACAACTCGCTTCGGTTTGTTTTACTCTCGCCATTTGGATTCCACTTGACCTACCTCACTCATTTTTATGTTTTCACGTGTTCACATAAATTCCCAAAGCAATATTCATTAAAATATGAGGAAAAACAATCACAAATTAGTATTTCAATGCAGATAATTGAAAAGAACATTCTTTGTCTCCATTAAAACTAATAAATTTTAATAGCACAAACAAGCGTATCTGAGCAAATTTTTGGTTAGACATACAAACATGTGTAAATATCATTCACAAACTTAAGAAGAAACCAACATTTCTCCAGACAAATAACATTAAATTTGTCCACAGCATATAAAATCAAATTTCACACCTTTTTTTATATAATTGAATTTGGGTTCCAAACAAATACCAAATAAAAATCATAAAATAAAAAAAAATAGAATAATCAAACACGTTATTTCCCTTCAACATCCATCCAAACTTAGTTCTTCCACATGTTTTCACTTAAGATAAAAGTACTAGGATTTCCTAATACACGAAGTTTTAATAAGTTACATGTTCATAAGCAACATACTTTCCCTTCAACTCGGCCAAACGAAAAAACAACTAATCATCATTTCCACCACAAATACGGTCTTTGAAGTACAGTTCTAGTTTTTCAATTCACCATGTACAGTAAAATCAACTTATCTTAACCCAATTAACATTTTGTTCATATATCCAAAGAAATTTCTAACAAGAAATCTAAAAAATCATTCATAAAAAATCCTCAACAATGACAACAAACAAGAAATTTCAAAAATCATTCACCTAGAAATTTCAAAAATCATTCACATTTAAACAATTTTCATTCAAAAGAAAAAATCACTCACTTCAATCGAAATAGAGTAGAGATGATTGAATGGGATAAAAAAAGGCAGAGGCCGGCCGGAAAGGCTTGGAGGCGATCAGCGGGAGAGGCGTGGCCGCTGGCTAGTGGGCGAGGGTGTGGGCAGTGCCTTTGTCGACGGCGGTAGAGAGAGAGTATTGAAGGACAGATGAGCATACTGGAAAAAAAAATGGAGTGTTTTTTCACTTAAATAGGTTTGAAAATATATGAAATTTAAAGAGGATATTAAGAACTTGTTATTTTAACATTTAAATTTATAATTTAAATTTTATTATAGTAAAAAATTTTAAAAAATAATTATATTTAATTTTTTTATTAAAATAAAAAATTTATATAAAATTATATTTTAATTTAAATTTAAATTAAAAACTTGAATCAATAAATTAAACAAATTTAGAAGACGTTTGGTTCATAAATTAGAATCATGTGATTATAATTATTTTTAATTTACGTGTATTTTTTATAAAAGAAAACACTATAACGAACTATGAATCATGATTCAAATCATGATTTGAATCATCCAACTAAACGTCATCTTAATACTTTCAACTGCCCCACCAGCTTTTACGTTAAAAAAAAGAATGATTTAATTATATTAAAAGTAATTTCTTAGCATCCGTTTAGTTCGCTGATTCGAGTTTTTAATTTAAGTTAAGATGTGACTTTATGTGAGACCTTTTTACTGTAGTAAAAAGTTAGATGTGATTGTTTCTGATAGCTTTTTACTGTAACAAAATTCGAATTCTAAACTCGAATCGGTGAAATAAACGGGGCCTTAAAATAAACTTTTTTAGAGGCATTTACCTAAATATCTGTCAAGGGGAAAACAAGGAGACTTAAAACAGAACTTTGAAAAGAGACAATGAGATCAAACCAAAAGCTTAAAAATCTCTGACAAAAAAAAAATGAAACCTTCCAGTTTGATATTGGATCCAAGATCGAACTTTCAATCTTGGAAGTAAGAAAAGGAGAGGGACGAGCTGCGACCGATCTTGAGGCAATCAGAGGACACGGACTTGGCGGATCTGATGCCGGCGGCAGAGAAGTGGGAAAAGGGACATTTCATGTGGGGGAAGATTTTTGTGGAAGCCGTACGATTGGTGGCATCGAGGCTGTTGCGGAGGCGGTAACAAAATTTAACAAACAGGGGAGAGGGTCAACCCATATCAAAAGCCCCTTTTTTGTGTACACTTTTTATTTATTAAGGTCCAGATTTAAACTATAATTTAAATTTTATTATGTTTTTAGAAATAGTTATATTTAATTTAAATTTTTTTTATATAAAATTAATTTTAACTTAATTTTAAATCAACAAAGTATACTAACTTTAAGATAAGATAAGATTTACACAGTAAATAATAATTTCCTCTCCCAAAATTCCAACTCTTAGACCATTCTCATTGTCTCGTAGAATGGGCGTGCCTGGTTAGAAAAAATCAGTGAGTGAGTTCTCCTTGCAAACGACAGCCCCCTGTTTTGCTGTCGTTTAATAGTTAGTAACTTCAATATATATATATATATATATATATATATTTTACTTTTTGGATCACATTTCTGCGTGCCTTATCAGTATATAAATACCTCTGACTACATTATATTGGGTCCTGGGATTTCATGTTCAAGTACCAAAAACAAAACTTCTTCCCCATTCTCTGAAGAAGCATAACAACAACAACAAAAAAAAAAAAACAATTCAGAAAAATGCCACCCACAATTGCCCTCTCTGCTTCCTCTTCCTTCTCTCTAATATCTTCTTCTTCATCATCTAAGAAATCCACTGCTTTCTCTGCATTCTCAAAACCCACTCGTACGGACACTTTCCCGACGAGCAATCCCAGGAGCGTTCGACTCTCCAATCCTCGGCCGAGGCGGAGCATGACTATCCAATCGGCGGTGTCGATCGAGAAGGAGACGCCGGAGGCCGAGCTTCCCGACACATTCCTCCGGGAGGAGTCGTCGTCAGCGTCGTCGTCCGTCAGGGCTCGCTTCGAGAAGATGATAAGGGACGCGCAGGACAGCGTCTGCCGCGCCATCGAGGCGGCCGACGGCGGCGCCTCCTTCAAGGAGGACGTCTGGTCGAGGCCCGGCGGCGGCGGAGGCATCAGCAGGGTCTTGCAAGACGGCGCCGTTTGGGAGAAGGCCGGCGTCAACGTCTCCGTCGTTTATGGCGTCATGCCTCCCGAAGCTTATAGGGCTGCTAAGGCTGCCTCCGCCGATCAGAAGCCCGGTCCCGTTCCCTTCTTCGCCGCCGGCATTAGCTCGGTGAGTGAGTGAGTTCTTTCTGTTTCCGATTATGGTCCGAAATTTGGTGAAATAGTCGTCTAATTTGTTAAAATGTAAACAATTTTTGGCCGGCCTTAGGTTTTGCATCCGAAGAACCCATTTGCGCCGACATTGCATTTCAATTATCGGTATTTCGAGACTGATGCTCCCCAAGGTATTCACGTGTTTCACTTTCTGCCATACTCGGACAATTTGGTTCCTCAAAAATTGCTTTTTGTTAGCGTTGCATTTCGATTTTTGAGTCTCTCTGTTGAATTGGGATGCTGATTTCAAGTCGCCGTGGAAGATTTGGTTTTTACTGTAGTTTTGGTAGTAGTCTCATTGTAGAGAAATTTGCTAGAATGACTATCTAACAAAGTTTCCTGGTAAATAATTTTTGCTGTCTAAAACCGAAACAATTCTCCAACTCGACTGAAATGTTAGCTTGTGGGTTAGCTGGTTGAAAGATCAAAGTGTTTTCTGGTCCTTGGTGTGAAAAAAAGTAACAGTGCGAAAAAAGTAACAGTTTCATTTTCAACTTATGTCGTACTGGAAATATGAAGATATGAAGTCGTGATGCTGAGTAACTGGAGATGGAATACCTTGTCTGTGCTGTAGTAGCATAGCAGAGGAAGATTTGTTGTGTGATGAGAGTGCTATGATTTTTTAAGATGATCGGGTTCAACCTTCAAGTACGGAGATGAATTTGATACTGTTAGTGGGAGTGACCGATCAGTTGATCATTTCATTTTGTGAGTTATCAACAACAAGGACAAGATAAAACATTATGCGCTGCTGTAGTAGCAATGTTTGGAAATCTTGCATCACCATGTGTTATAGAGGACGAAGAGGAGATATGAATTTACTTTCATCCGATGCTAAAGCTTGTGGTTTCTCTTGCATTTTATGTGTGCTTTATACATAACTAAAACATCTTGCACTCTCTTTTTGCTCGTTAAATTATGCAGATGTTGTTGGAGCACCTAGGCAATGGTGGTTTGGAGGTGGAACTGATTTAACTCCTGCTTATATTTTCGAGGAGGATGTCAAGCACTTCCATTTGGTCTGTTTTCAAACCAGATAACATTTCCTTTGATTTGACTTGTTAGAACACGAGATAGCAAGGAAAAGAAAAGGAAAACAAAGAGGCTTTTACGAAAGATTATTACAATCACATTGCTGTTGTTCATCAAGCAATATCTATGCGGTTGGTCTCTGATGATAGTCCACTGTTTTAAGAAAGTGCATACTAACGTTGACTTCTTTTTGCAGGTTCAAAAGAGCGCATGTGACAAATTTGATCCCGCATTCTACCCTCGGTTCAAGAAATGGTGTGATGATTATTTCTATATCAAAGTATGTTGACTGGCAAAACCTTTTCTAATAGTTGTATGATATAACCGTTGTGCAGAAAAGGAACAGCAGTGTTGTAGTTCAACTGAACATTTCTTCCTTGTTGAAAAATTGTTTCAATTATACAAAGGAGCTGGTGTTTCTACTGAACTATAATGTGAAATTTTTGAGAGGCATGCCATTGTTTTGCCTTTACATTTCACTTTCTTTCTATTTGCAGCATCGGGATGAGAGGCGTGGGCTTGGAGGAATATTTTTTGATGATCTAAATGATTATGATCAGGAGATGCTTCTTTCCTTTGCAACTGGTAATTGCTCGACAATATTTGCATGTTTTTCCCATGTGCTTCTTAAATAATACTTCCACACCATCTCGTGTAATTGATGTCCTTGACAATCTACTTGAACTTGCAGAATGTGCTAATTCTGTAATTCCTGCGTATATCCCAATTATAGAGAAAAGAAAGGATACGCCATTTAATGACAGGCATAAGGCATGGCAGCAATTGCGGAGGGGACGCTATGTTGAATTCAATTTGGTAAAGAACTGAGCTCTGAAGATGTCATATGCATTCATTTGCACACAAGAAACTGTGATTGAGACCTTATCTTTGTGTGATTGAGACCTTATCTTTGTCTTTTTCTTTTTAATTAAAGGTCTATGATCGCGGTACAACATTTGGACTAAAGACGGGAGGTAGAATAGAGAGTATTCTTGTTTCTCTTCCTCTAACCGCTCGGTGGGAATACGACCATGTAAGTATTTTTGGATTCTCTGGGTCATTCAACCGGTATTGTTGTATATAACAAGCATTTTGACATCAGAATTGAGAGGTTATTATTATTATTATTATTGTTATTTTTCTGGTTTTGCAGAAACCAGAAGAGGGAAGTGAAGAGTGGAAACTATTGGATGCTTGCATAAACCCAAAGGAATGGATCTAGTATTCGCAAACAACTGTTTTTGTATCATAGAGTACCCACCACCCCCCAACTTTTTCCTTTTTATCCGTTACTTGGCCGAGGATTGTTTTTTGTTGCTGAGGGTTAGAACTTAGCGGTTGTTATCTTGTTCTGACTAATCATTATTTAGATGTATAAGGCGATGTAATTGCTACAATTGTATCTTCTGTATGGTTCGTACATTTTTGGTTGAATAATTACCTTCTTGAAAATTCTATCAACAAATCACCACTTTGCGATGCCTCATTTGAATTTGATCTCTACCGTTTTGGACACGTAAAATTAGGGGTGGCAATTCGTGTCACGTGTCGTGTTCGTGTCGTGTTTTGATTATTTTTTTAAAATTTTCAGTCAACCCGAACACGACCCGTGACATGAAATTTTTTAAAAACCGCAACACGAACACGACACGACCACTTTACGAGCTGACACGACACGACCCGAAAATGACCAGTGACACGAAATTGACCCGTGAACCCGAAATTGACACGAAAATTGTATACTTTTATTTAGTTTTTTACATATTAGAAATAACTTAAAATTCATAACACACTAAATTACAATAACATCCATTGAAATTAAGCAAATAATAGTATAAGATTTTGAGTATAACTATCATGATATCACAAGTTCATAATAAAATTTAAAATATGAAATGAAAAATATATGTATTTTTTAGTTTTTTACGAGTTTCGTGTCGTGTTCGGGTTAGGGGGATCCAACCCAAAATTGACCCGTATTTTTCGTGTCAATTTCAGGTCGACCCAATTCTGACCCGAACATCTTTTTTCTCAACCCTAACCCGCAAAATTCGTGTCGTTTTTAAGTCGTGTCGTGACCCATATTGCCGGCCCTACGTAAAATGCACCTGAGCACTCAGTTCAGGCTTCAAAGAAACAAAAGATTAGAGCACCAAATTAACTTGATATTGTTACAAACTGTGTTTACAGAGGTTTCTCAAGAGACCTCAACGTGTGAGATTGGTGCAAGGCAACAGGTAACCATTAACCAATATTCGACCAAAAACAAACTACTTTGATTATAAATATCATATTTTCTCTAATCCCCATCCTCAGTCCTCACACCACTACATTCATCAATTATTGCTCCAGATTAGTGGTTAATTTTGCATCCAAAACCAGATTAATCGTAAGTTAGAAGTATTTAAGATTTTACTAGCCTTGTCCCCGTAATATAGGTAGAACTACACGTAACATTTTTTACGTCAACATTCCTCACCCTAATTCTCTGAACTTCTCATGTAAAACCACCAAAATTGAAATACCCGTACAAATATCAACTTTCGATCTACTTCTTAACCCCTCATAATGACGTTTTTTCCCCTAAATATACTACAAATTGTAATTGTGAGTGAGCATGGATTACTTATTCTTATTTTTGTTGACTAACATAGGGAGCGTCTTCGTAATTTTCTAAAAACTTATGGTGGTGGCGACGTAAAATATTTTTGTCAACTGTCAAGGGAATGTCTCTGTAATATAGGCAAAATATGAGGGGGGGTCAGCGTAAAGCCCCGTATGTCGGACTCGGGAACATCCACTATTAGTGTACTATAAACTCCAATCCTTCATGAATATTAATTAATTAACATTAACTTAAAATTGTTTACTCTAAATTCTCTTTCGAACCAAAATGCACAAAGGAGGGTAATTCTATAAAGACGTTATACCACTTAATCATGCAGATAATCATACACAGAGAAGTCACTATACACCAGGGAACCATCCTTATAATGTAGAAGGTAATAGCAGTTATCACAGAAGTAGCAAGGATTCCCTTGAGCCCACTTGTCATCGACAGTCACCTTTGTAGCTCTATAAATCTTACATACATAACATTTTTGCACACGCGGCTTCAGTTGAAATACGGCAATGGGATAAGCTGCCCGGTTCTGCACATCTTCTGGATGAACAAGCCGCATGTCTCGTATGACAATTGTATGCTTGCAGTCTCCCTGCACAGAGTTGTTTTCCCGAACCAAATAACAAGGTAAAGAGGATCATTAACGATGCAATAAACCACCATAAAAAACAAGTGTGATAAGACATTGAGCATCAAAGCTACGCAGGGGTGGGTCTTTTCATGAAGCTAAAATTTCTCCATAAATAACTTGCAAGTAAAGCCACATTTCAAGCCACAAATGGCGTCTTTCAAGCACACTATGAGAGGATGGAAATGCATGTACGCACCTGGTGACAATATTGATATCCAGCACCAAGGCTAAATTTCAAGTCACAAAACCGTGTCTTTTGCATGTCAACAGCTTTAAAGTGAGGCAATTGTGAAGCCACATCACCGATAATTGCCTTTTGCTTTTGCTGCAGTTCTCCGGTAATTATACATTCCCATTTTTTACGAGCTTCGTCCTTATTGTTTCGAAGCCAGTCAAATATGGGTTCGCTATAATCTATTGCGGCTGGGTTCCTTAAATCATTGCAAAAAACATCCTGCATAGAGGCACCATTTTGTTAGTAAAATGACAAAAGGGAACCACCTTAATCATGAAAAATAGAAATGAACAAATGTAGCTTACCTCTATGAGGAAATATCCGGAAGGATCATGCTGCCCAGCCTTTTGCATCATCTGGTCTGTCAAACAGAAGATCTTATCCCTCAGCTCAGTCAAGGTTTGTCCTCCTAAAACCAAGAATTCTTGGGTCTTCACACCCATATACACAATTGTCAGTAAAACTAACGATTGGAAGGAGAGTAATTGGAGAAATGAAAAGAGAGATGCAGAATATGAAACAAATGACTTGAACATATTTGAAACTAGTTGCGAAAGGCATTTCATAAGGGTTTTAAGAGAACTAGTCTACAAAGAAGACCTTACTTATCAAGCGGTGAAAAAATCCTGGTCAATTTTGATAATGAACTGTATATAAGTTATTGTCGTTAAATTAGGAAACTATGAGCTGTGGAATAGTTGTATGGCTGTATGACCGGATATTAGGAGATAGAGAATCCGGATATTAGAGAGGATATTTGACTTTGTATTGTTTCCTTATTTACAGATTTTGTTTCTCTGTTTTAGGGATTAGATTAGACCTCACCAAGTCTATATAATCCCTATACAATTTCTCTGAAACTATGAAGTAATACAAGAATTTTTCTATCTTCCATTGCTTACATGGTATCAGAGCCACGGCTCTTTCTTGAAAAATTAGCCTTCCATTCCTTCATCCGCAGCCCTTCAATTCCCTCTTTCTTTATTCTCTTATTTCCACAGTCTAAATGGATTATACACTAGCAATGACCGGCCAAAAAAGAGACTCCTCTGCAGCGGGTGATAGTCCAAGTGCAGTGAGTTCCGGGGCCTCATCAGAGAATGTGCAATCGGGTTCAAGAGGGCCAGCAGTTAGTGGAGGAGCAAAGAACAGTGCTAACGATTTCTTTAGTTCAAGCATGTCCTTCCAATTGACCAGCCATAAACTAAATGGCTGGAACAAATTGGAGTGGGCTCAATTGGTGAAGCTTGCTATTGATAGCAGAGGGAAACTCAGCCATTTGACCAGGGAAATCACAAGACCGGCTGCAGGTGATCGAAACATGGCAGCGTGGAGATCTGAGAACTCTCTTGTCACGGCTTGGTTGATTAACTCGATGGAACCAACCATTGGAAAGCCGCATATGTTTCTGCCAACAACCAAGGATGTTTGGGAGGCTGTACGTGAGATGTACTTAGATATTGAGAACTCGTCTCAGATTTTTGAGTTGAAGACCAAGCTATGAAAGGCTAAACAAGGAGATAGAAACGTTACAGTGTTCTACAATGAACTTGTAACCTTGTGGCAGGAGTTATACCTATGCTATGAAGACGAATGGGAGTGCCAAAAAGACAACATCCAGCACGAAAAAAGGGAAGAAAATGACCGTGTTTATGTCTTTCTTGTAGGGTTAAATCAAGACTTAGATGAGGTTTTATAGGCTGGATTTTGGGGAGAAAGCCGTTGCCATCCATTCGAGAAGTTTTCTCAGAAGTTAGAAGAGAGAAAAAGAGGCGGAAAGTGATGATTGGAAAAAATGAATCGGAGGCAGAAGGTTTTGCACTTATGCCCAAAGGGGCCACGGCTGAAGGAGAGGAAAAGAATAGCAAAACGAAGCCTTGGTGTGATCATTGTAAATGACCATGGCATACTCGGGAGACATGCTGGAAAATCCATGGTAAACCAAACAGTTGGAAGAAAAAACCACCTGGAGATAATCGTGCCTCTCAAGCTAATGTTTATGAATCAAGGACCGAAGCTACCTCTGGAATGCAGTCGTTCACAAAGGAACATATAAAGCAAATCTGTAAACTTCTCCAGTCCAAAATCTCAATAATTCAAATCCTTCTTGTTCTCTGGTTCAGAAAGGTAATCATCTCATAGCGTCTTGTCTCAGTGTCAATTCAAAAGATTCTTGGATAATCGATTCCGGAGCAACGGATCATATGACCAGATCATCAGAATTTTTTTCTTCATATAACCCTTGTGCAGGAAATCAAAAAGTCAAAATAGTAGATGGTTCTTTCTCAATAGTAGCCGGGAAAGGATCAATTGTTATTTCTCCTTCTTCGACACTCCATAATGTCTCTTCATGTTCCCAAGTTGTCCTGTAATTTGTTGTCAATCAGTAAAATAACCGTTGATCAAAAGTGTCAGGCTAATTTTTCCTCTTCCGGTTGTCAATTTCAGGATTTGATCATGGGGAAGACGATTGGAAATGCTAAGCAAGTTGAAGGTCTATATTTCCTTGAAGATGGATACGACTTGAATAGGCAATCCCAGAGAATTTGTCTCAATTCTATTTCAATTCCTAATGAGAATAAAATTATGTTATGGCATTTTAGGTTAGGACATCTAAGTTTCTATTATTTGAGACATTTATTTCTAAAGTTGTTTTTGAATAAAAATCCATCTTCATTTCAATGTGAAATTTGTAAACTTGCCAAGCATCGTCACACTTACTTTCCGGCACAACCCTATAAGGCCACAAAACATTTTTCTGTAATTCATAGTGATGTGTGGGGACCTTCAAGAATAAAAACAATCACTGGAAAAAGACGGTTCATCACATTCATTGATGACCATACTCGGATCACATGGGTGTGTTTACTCCATGAAAAATCGGAAGCTGAAAATGTGTTTAAAAACTTTTATAAAATGATTCAAACAAAGTTTCAAACTCAGATTCAAGTTTTCAAAAGTGACAATGGCAAAGAGTACTTTAATGAGATTCTAGAGGATTTTTTCGGACAAAATGGTATTGTTCACCAAAGCTCATGCAATAACACTCCACAACAAAATGGAGTCGCTGAGAGAAAAAATAAACATCTTCTAGAGGTAACAAGGTCTTTAATTGAACAAATTTTTTTTATTATATTCATTAAGAGCTTACAGCTATTTATAGAGTACAAAGTATTTTAGTATACAACTTATACTAGGAAATTCTTAATTAAAAAAGAATCAAGGAATTATTTTTTGAAATTGACAGCTAACTATCCTATCACTCACAGCTTGCATTGACTCAATAAATTAGGAAACTATCCCTAAGAATCCTACCATTGACTAGACAAATCAGGGAATGATTTCCCTGAGAATCAGAGACAAATCAGGGAATGATTTCCCTAATAATTTGAGTCAACGAATCTTGAGAGATTCGTCAACACTCCTCCTTAAGCTGTTGAGTGTATGTTTTCCATTCCCATTTTGTTGGTAATACTTTGAAACGCTGCATTAGGGAGTCCCTTCATTAGAATGTCTGCGAGTTGCCTGTTGGTAGAAATATAAGGAGTGCAAATAAGTCATTCTCGAGTTTTTCCTTGATGAAATGACGATCGATTTCCACATGCTTTGTTCGATCATGTTGTACAGGATTGTGTGCGATATTGATAGCTGATTTGTTGTCTCAATACAGCTTCATAGTGCCTTCCCATTTCACTCCTAGGTCTCCTAGAATAATTTTTATCCATAATAGCTCACATATGCCTTGAGCCATTGCTCGAAACTCAGCTTCGGCGCTTGATCTAGAGACTACTGACTGTTTCTTACTTCTCCAAGTTATGAGGTTTCCTCCAAGAAAGGTACAGTACCCCGAGGTGGATCTTCGGTCAATAAGAGATCTGGCCCAATCCGCGTCTGTGTATGCTTCCAAGTTTAGCCTTCCATTTCTTTTGAATAGGATTCCTTTTCCAGGAGTGCCCTTGAGGTATTGAAGAACTTTGTATGCAGCTTGTAGGTGTGTCTCTCGAGGGGCATGCATAAACTGACTTAGAACACTTACTGCATAGGCTATGTCTGGTCTTGTATGAGCAAGATAAATAAACTTCCCGATCAGCCTCTGATATCTTCCCTTGTCAACTTCTGGACTATCTACAGCTTCTCCTAACTTGTGATGATAATCAATAGGAATTTCTGAAGGCTTGCATCCCATCATACCTGTTTCCTTGAGTAGATCTAAGATATATTTTTGTTGAGAGATGAACATCCCGGTTTTTGAGTGTGCAACTTCAATTCCTAGGAAGTACTTGAGCTTTCCTAGGTCTTTTAGTTCGAATTCTCTGGATAAATGGTCTTTCAGTTTCTTGATCTCTTCAGCATCATCTCCTGTCACAATGATATCATCCACGTAGACTATTAAGGCAGTGATCTTCCCCTCATTTTGATCGTTTGATGAAGAGTGTATGACCTCCTAAGCCCTATTTGAACTTCATCCTTTCCATGGCTTTGGTGAATCTTCCAAACCATGCCCTTGGAGACTGTTTCAGCCCGTATAGGGCTTTTTTCAAGTGCTCTCATTTCTTCAATCATAGCTTTTTTCCACTCCCCACTTCTAAGTGCTTCTTGAGCAGTTTTTGGAATCTCAATAGCATTTAACTCGGTGAGAAAGGCTCTATGTGATGTTGAAAGATTGGTAAATGAGATGAAATTGGCTATAAGATGTTGTGTGCATTTTCGTGTTCCTTTTCTGAGTGCAATAGGCAGATAAAGATCATGGAATTCTTGTGGTAAGGGATCTGTTTTGTTATCTGCTTTTTGTAGCTTGATCTTGCACGGGTTCTGATGGTTGGGCCATCACCGGTTCAAGATTAGGCTTCCTTCTCGAGTACACTTGCAATGGAGACATTGGATGGTTTATTTACTTGATGAGAATGGACTGGACTTGTGTTTAGATTTTCATGCGTAGGACTTGAACTAGAATGATCACGACTTGGACTGACAAAAGGATCTTGGGCTGGAGGATCTCGGTCTGGACTGAGAAGAGGGATTGAATTATTTGGAGGGTTTGAGATTGTTTCTCGGGGAGCTAAGATCAAAATTGAGAAAATTTAAGTCTGAATTGTCTTCTAACCTAGGCTCCCTCAGAAGACAAGTTTGATCATAGAACCCTTGATTTTCAGCGAAAGGGACATCTTTTGATATGTAGATTTTCCTAGTATTTGGGTGATAACACTTATACACTTTGTGTTGAGGAATATGATGAGTGAGTTTTATTCGCTCATTTGGTATCGTTTTATACTTAATATCTAGTTGGTTTCGAGGTTTTTGTTAGTTTTTATATGTGTTTTCGTTCTTTGTTTGAAGGATAGGTAGAAGTCTATGATTTGGAAGGTTTTGGACAAATTTCGGTGGAAAAAGACGGCAATCATAGCGCTTAGGCGCCAATCTGTAGCGCCTT